AACCATGCCTACCCGGGTAAAATGGACTTGGGCTTAGTGACCTCTAACCATACCTACCCGGGTAAAATGGGCTTGGGCTTAGTGACCTCTAACCATGCCTAACCGGGTAAAATGAGCTTGGGCTTAGTGACCTCTAACCATGCCTACCCGGGTAAAATGGACTTGGGCTTAGTGACCTCTAACCATACCTACCCGGGTAAAATGGACTTGGGCTTAGCGACCTCTAACCATGCCTAACCGGGTAAAATGGGCTTGGGTGGCCCTGCTGTAGGCAGGGAATGGCATGGAAGGCAAAAGGTGGCAAGTTAGCAAACCTGCAGTGTATCTTCTCTACTGTCCATCTACGCAGTTACATTGTTTTAATATCCAACCTAAATGAATACCTTAACCCCGCCTCGTGCCCATAGCTTCCAGGATGGGCTCCGGACTCCCTGCAGCCCAGTAGGATAAGCGGTTTGGACAATGGATGGATGGATGGATGGATGGATGGATGGATGGATGGATACCTTAATTCCCATGCTGACACTTGTTTAATGCTATTCAGGACTTGTGGGATTCCTGTGGGAATCATTGTCCTTTGGGGTAAGGCTGTCAAAATTCCCCATGCTTAGGGGGAGGGGCTACCTTTTGATATTTGGGGGGGGGGGGTGACTGACCTGTGGAGATGCAGACGAGGAGGTAGGACAGCGGCGTATAGTGGGAGTGCATGTTGTCCAACATCTCTGGCCACAGGAGGACACTGGAGGCACAGACAGACACACGGACACACAGACACATGGACACACGGACAGACACATAGACAGACACAGAGACAGGCACCGCAGATCCACATTCCAAGCATTAGACTCAACACTTTATACAAGAAGAACAGAACATTTAATCTTTAGTGTACAGCAAATAAAGCAGCGAATCAAATATGATTGCCAGTATATTCTAATATACAGATAATACGATTTTGCTGTATAATGTTTGATCGTTTGTAATTGAGATTTTCAGTTATGTGGCTAAGCTTCTGAGAGGAAACAGTGAAACATGAGGAACCCAGCCCTGCAGATGGATATCTAATCTGCTGAGAACCTCTCAGGCAGGTCCTTAACCCGATAGCTAAGCCGACTGTGGCGTACAAGCAAGAAATTAACAGGTGCTGCATTGAATAAATCACTAAGGTCTCTATTCTCCTACTTGAAATCTTGTTTCATGGCTTTAACGTTTAATAAATAAGATCCGAATGTCTTCTTGGATTATCTGAAAAGCTTTTGAGAAGCTCATGAAGTAGAAGTTCATTTTATCCTGCCCTTCCTATTAATTTATGACTGTATAACAGGTCTGCCCAGTTCCTCCTGCTCTGAATGAGCTATGTTAGCAAGTGTTCCTGCAAGAACATGACATTATTTTCACAAAATCCAGTCTAACTAATCTAGCTTCACCTGCTTTGGCTTGATCCCAGTCTTCTCTATATGCAGTGTGCACCCCAAGTACATATGATCTATTTCATATTATAAATACTGAGATATCATGACTGTTTCATGTGTTTAAGATGCTGATGTGACATTCCATGCTGCTACGACGGTGTTTTCGATTTGAGATGAAACGAGCCGTCAGTCTTTCAGACCCGCTTCACTTTCACACAGTGAAGTACAAATGAGTTTTGCCCACTTTGAGGTGGGTGCTGAACATGCATGCTGCCCACGCCTGTCTTTATCCTGCTTTAACCTGATAGTGACACGCTCCTTAACACACACTACTTAACACGTTACTTAATGTGTCGACACTGTTGGGTCTGGCGATCCTGAGCCATCGCGACCTCGGGCTGATATCCCCCCGGTGGCCCTGGTACTCACCAGGAGATGGCCCAGGTGCCCGTGAGCAGCGAGTGGACCAGGGACACGGAGAGGTTCCTCCACTTCCACACGCGGAACTCGTCGTGCTGCACGCCTTTGGGCAGCGGCAGAGATTGCAGGAGCCCGTGGACGGCCCTGAAAGCCAGCGAGGAGGCTGCCACCGCCAGGCCGGGGTGCAGCTGTACTGCCGACAGCAGCCCTTCCATCGTCTGCCGCCCGTGTCCCTCCGGTCGCAGTGCTTCTGCTCCTCCTCGCTCCTCCTCGCTCAGTCCCACTTCTCAGCTCCTGTGTATTCGTATTCGTACACGTTTCATGGATGGACAGACAGACAGATCAACAGACAGACAGACAGACAGATCAACAGACAGACAGACAGAAGGAGGGAGGCAGATCCTGTGGACCCTGTGTGATGACTTTTTCCACCCCCCACCCCACCCCAGTTAGCCGGCCCCCGCCTCTCTGCACTCACTCACGATGGCCCGGTGACAGTGGCAGCGCAGAAAGTGTCACGTTTCTCAGTCACAGAGCATTTGCTAGAGATTCCCTGGGATTGACCCCATCCAGCTTTGCTGATCCCTCCCCCAGCCCCCCTCCTTTCTCAGCGTGCTGCTCCTCAACCAGTCTGTGAATCAGCAGGGAGACGGGAGGAGTGGCAGAGACAACCGGGAGCGTGTGGGCGGCAGCCTGCTTCTAGAAAACTCTGAAAGTTTGGGCGGGGCAATGTTGACACACAGAACAACAGCTAAAGAAAAAATGCTTGGCACTGTGATTTGAATGAAGCGTAGCGAGAGAGAGAGAGTGAGAGGTTTAATAAAAACATGTATTGTTCAGACTGAGACTTTAGCATTGTTTTGCATCTGGGATGGAAATGTTTGTGTCATAGGAGCACTTGTTACGAGCCTGACAGCAGAAATGGACTTTCCCAGACAGAATCTGCCCTCCCAAAGACTGGGCTGACTTAGGCTATGTTTCAGAGCTTCTCCCGAAAGATCCTTTCCTGTCAGCGTACTTTGGCGACATCCTCACCCTTTATAGAGGTACCTAAAAGCCAGCGTCCTCCATGCCTCAGGCCTCTCTGGTTTGTGGAGTCAGCTAGAATTTTGGGCTAATTTCATTGATTCAGACTGGAGACCCAAACTCATACCTATCCAAGTTCTAGTTATACATATAATGCAAAATGCAACAGGTTTGTTTTCAATTCCGTTTATTTAGATATAGTCAGATACCGTGCAATATTTTTTTTTGCGTTGCCGTAATGTGAGGCCTGGGCGGTTCTCCTTATGGTTCTGTTGGAGCGCCATCTGCCGGCAGCAGAGCAACGTGCAGCTCGGACCAACCTTTGGATAAAAAATAGGGGTGCACCGATTGCAGTTTTCTGGCCGATCAACGATCACCGATCCTTAGGCAACCTTACCTGC